GTCTCTGTACACAGAGAGCTGTTACCCTTCCCTTTATAGTTATGACAAGGCTGAATTAGCTTTTTATTAAGATTGACTCAGAAGCTTTTAACCTTACACCTTTAGGGTGTGTGCTGCGTGGAGTGCTGACAGTGGTACCTGAACAATGTTCAACTTCATATACAACACTGGTAGCAAACTCTAACTGCAACAGTGCAGAAAAGGAGATGTAAGCTGATATTGTGTAATTACACTGAAGACAGCAAAGAGAGAATTCCATAATAAGTAATGCTGATTACTTTTTTCTTTTACTTGTCTCTTAAACACACCTATAACAAAATCTTGTAAGAAGCATTTGTAGAAATTGGTCAAAAATAGTATTTTACAAAGTTCTGCATTTTAAATCCTGGTAAAGCCATTGAAATTGTTTCAGAAATCTAATATGTATTAGAAAGTTTTATAAAATAATGGGAAAGTTATCATGGTTAGCCCAACAGGCATCTATTTTATAAGAATAAAATAAAGAGAAAAAAGGCCTTATGCACTACTCTGTAGAACAGTAGACATGTGGATTATGTATGTCAAGGAAATGAAGGTTTGCCCTGCAGTGCTGAAAAGAAATAAAACATCAGTTGGAATTTGAAATGGGGAACATTTTCAAGTAAGGTTTAATTGCTCTTATATTTATCTATAAAAAAAAAAAAAAAACGTTGTTAAGTTTAAGGGTACATATCAGTGACTTGAAAGTAAAAATCCTTACAAGAGCATGTAGTTATTTAAAAGCAACCATTAAAAACCCAGAGAATTCAGAGCGAAGGTTGAACTTTGAAGGAGACCAAACATTTGCACTTATGAAAATGCTCAGTGGTAAGGCATCCAAATCACCTTATTTCAGTCCCCATAATGATTCTAGCTTTGCATCTCTTCCTCCTTGTTCTTTTACCCTTACTTTGTGTGATGCGTTAATGTCTGATCAAAGACATTTTTTCTAAGTGCTTCATGAAGACTATGGCTTATAGCTGTAAATATCTTGATAATAGAATAGCCACTGTACTGATTTAATTGCCACTTCCACCCTCCCATCTTCCCGTCATCATCTTCTTCCATAAGGGCTCGAAGATAGGTATTCAGTCTATGGTTGTGGACATATTAGATTTGAAGACGACTGCAAGGTTCTTAGCATTGAAATTGTGCATAACAGAGCATTGGTTGAATACATACTGTACATGACTTGATGCTGTGTGAAGATCGTCATTCACTAACCTTAGCTCTTTTTATTATAGCATTATAATTTAATGATCTCAGTCTTGGAGTTTTTCATTTATAGATACACTCAGTCTGTGTTTAATCACATTTGTATAATAGTTGGCATGTGTTTTCTGCAAAGTGATGAGCATTCTGGCCTCGATCCAGCAAATCATTTAAGCATGTGCTTAACTTTTGTCCCTTGACTGCTATGTGAAAATTAAGCATGTGCTCATGTGCTTTCTGGATAAGAATGCTCAGCACTCTGCAAGTTCGAGTCCCTAATGAAAAGAGGGAAAGACTGCCATTAGTATGCTATTTTTAATCAAACAACTATAACATGAATTCTGTCTGCGGATTATGCCTGGCTGTAAAGAAGGTCAAATTAGAAGATGATTAAGAGTAAGGCATTTTAATAATGTAGTTATTGATGAGATGAAACTGCTTATTATGAATGGATAAGATTCTTTTAGAGTCCCTGGTTTTCTTTTTCCCTCAGGGCATAGCTATGGAGACAGAGCTAAGATTATGTCAGTGCCTTACCTGCGCATTTTCATGGTTTCATATGTTTGGCTTTCCTTTACATTTAACCTTAACTCTGACATTTTTGCATTTCTAATGGCTGTTTTTGACAACTACACCATTCCAGTAATGTTTTTTCTGCTTCAATTACTCATAGGGACTGCAAACTTTAATGCCAGTTTAACAAATGAGAGTTGTAAAATAACTACAAACTATATAAAAGATAAGGAAGACTCCTGGAATGAAGATCATTTATATAAAAAAATAAACCTGGAAGAATTAAAAACTGAGAACTGTTGAGAGAAAATGGGAAGAGAAAAATCCTGCCTAAAGGATAAATAATAAATGCAGAATTTGTCCACACTCTTCCAGAAATGTTGCCAAAATGCCTGGGTTAACAACTCTTTATCTTGTTTTCTCTCTCAACCTGATGTCTCATACAAGAGAGAAAGCCTAATCCAAAAACAAGTCTTTGTAAAGGGTCCTACAAAAAGGATTGAGGAAAAGAATCTCCCTGTACAACTCAAAGGATTGTTGTTGAAAACCTTGCAGCTCTTATGCGGCTTCCACTACAACTTTAGAGGTCCAGTGTCATTATTTATTGCTATGAAAGTTCCATGTAGTCAGTGCATCCATGTAGCTGCACACCTACTGGATACACCCCTGCTCCCAAACACCTCTTCTACTGATGCACAGTACTCCCACGGATTATTCTTCTATGATATGCCAAAGAAGTGGAGTTTTTTTGCGTGGCCTCTCCACAGATAACACTTTCATACACCATGTATAACAGACCTGGGATACCTCTGCTGCCTTTGAGGCCTTATATGGTTATCACACATTTAAAAACCTATGTATATACGATCTCTCTGTCTAATTTCTACCATCATCATCTAACTGAGTGCCCACATAGAGAGACAGAAGAGACAGATATACTATTTACAGCAAAATCAGTGTAAAACATCATAAAATATATGGCCCATTTTTTTTTTATCTTACAGAAAAATACACATTATCTACTTACTAATACATTCAGGTAGTGGCTTATCCCAGTGACCATTTGGTTGACAGACTAAAACTGAAGATCCAAATAAAAAATGTCCAGGATTGCAGTCATAAAACACCACTGTTCCATATGTGAAATTTCCATGTTCTATTTTACTTTCTCGTATGGAATTTGCAGGGATTCCAGGATCAGAACAGTTGACCACTAAAAAAGTGATACATTTGAAACTCATTTTTAGATTACACATGTATAATATATTGTTTTATAAATAAATTTGTAATAGCTTTATTACTGAGGTCTGGATGCACAAAAGGATTTAGGCACCTAAGTCCATTAGGCACCTAAGTCCCAGTATTGGGATCATTATGATGTGCAAATATCCCATCAAACCACGCAAGGAACCTAAATTCACTTGGTGCCTAAGTTTCCAGAGTAAAAGTTTCTTTGGCACCTACACATCCATCTCTGGTCATGTGCAATGCTTCTTCACTCTAGGCATCAGGATGCTAGATTCTCCCATTTAAACCCTAGAGTGATTCACAAACCAAGACAAGACGGGCATTTGGCCTAATAAGTCATATGCAGGGCATAATCCAGTAGGCATGCTCAGAAGCTGTTTAACAGATTGAGTCCCTTTCAAAATCCAGACGGAGGAGGAGAAGAAGGAGGTGGTGCCCACCTTGTAACCCAGTGATTAAAGCTTAGTCATTTTCCCTCTCTCGCCCAATGACTGTTCCACTATGGATAAATATTTAAATAGTCAATGGACCACAGAGGGGCAGAAAGTGTGAGGATGACCCTGTAGTCCGTGGTTAGGACATCCACTTGGGAGGTGGAAGGCACAGGGTCCAGTCCTCTTGCCACAATCACTCTTTCATTATTTATCTACAGTGGAACAGCTTCAACAGGAGAGATTCAGGGAACCCCACATCAGACTGTACCATAGCTCAGTGGTTAGAGCACTCTCCTGAAAGGTGGGAGACCCCTCTTCAATTGAACCTGGGATTTCACATCCCGGTAAAAACTCTAATCACTGGAATAATCATGATAAGGAAAGCACCACTTCCTCCTGCTCCTCAGCTTCTTGCTAAAACAGTGCCAGGAGAGGGTTCACAGCTGAGAATCATTAGCAGGGCTAGGTGTCTCCCTGTCTCCTGGAGTTAGGTGCCTGTCTCTACGAGGGGGGCAGGGCTTAGCATACACCCCTCTGGTTGGCATCTCCCATTGGGTAGCTTAGGCGGGAAGATAGATATATAGATAGCTGTCTATCTATCTATCTCCAACTTTCACTGAAGGGAGCTTTTGTTAATGATGTGAACAACCTGGTTGGTTCTTTGGGGTCCTCAGCTTCGCCAGGTGCCCCAGAGGGAGTGAACCCAACAGGCAATGATCAAGTGATCTCTCTCCTGCCATCCATCTCCACCTTCTGACAAACAGAGGCTAGGGACACCCTTCCTTACCCATCCTGGCTAATATCCATTAACAGGCTTAACCTCCATGAATTTATCCAGTTCTCTGTTAAACAGTTATAGTTCTAGCCTTCACAACCTCTTCAGGCAAGGAGTTCCACAAGTTGACGGTGCGCTGTGTGAGGAAGAACTTCCTTTTATTTGTTTTAAACCTGCTGCCCATTAATTTCATTTGGTGGCCCCTAGTTCTTGTATTATGGGAACAAGTAAATAACTTTTCCTTATTTACTTTCTCTACATCACTCATGATTTTATATACCTCTGTTATATCCCCCCTTAGTCTCCTCTTTTCCAAGCTGAAAAGTCCTAGCCTCTTTAATCTCTCCTCATATGGGACCCGTTCCAAACCCCTAATCATTTTAGTTGCCCTTCTCTGAACCTTTTCTAATGCCAGTATATCTTTTTTGAGATGAGGAGACCACATCTGTACGCAGTATTCAAGATGTGGGCATACCATGGATTTATACAAGGGCAATAAGATACTCTCCGTCATATTTTCTATCCCCTTTTTAATGATTCCTAACATCCTGTTTGCTTTTTTGACCGCCGCTGCACACTGCGTAGACGTCTTCAGAGAACTATCCACGATGACTCCAAGATCTTTTCCCTGATTCATTGTAGCTAAATTAGCTCCCATCATATTGTATGTATAGTTGGGGTTATTTCTTCCAGTGTGCATTACTTTACATTTATCCACATTAAATTTCATTTGCCATTTTGTTGCCCAGTCACTTAGTTTTGTGAGATCTTTTTGAAGTTCTTCACAGTCTGCTTTGGTCTTAACTATCTTGAGCAGTTTAGTATCATCTGCAAACTTTGCCACCTCACTTTTTACCCTTTTCTCGAGATCATTTATGAATAAGTTTAATAGGATTGGTCCTAGGACTGACACTTGGGGGACACCACTTGTTACCCCTCTCCATTCTGAGAATTTACCATTTATTCCTACCTTTTGTTCCCTGCCTTTTAACCAGTTCTCAATCCATGAAAGGACTCTTCCCTCTTATCCCATGACAACTTAATTTACGTAAGAGCCTTTGGTGAGGGACCTTGTCAAAGGCTTTCTGGAAATCTAAGTACACTATGTCCACTGGATCCCCCTTGTCCACATGTTTGTTGACCCCTTCAAAGAATTCTAATAGATTCGTAAGACACGATTTTCCTTTACAGAAACCATGTTGACTTTTGCCCAACAGTTTATGTTCTTCTATGTGTCTGACAATTTTATTCTTTACTATTGTTTCAATTAATTTGCCTGGTACTGACGTTAAACTTACTGGTCTGTAATTACTAGGATCACCTCTAGAGCCCTTTTTAAATATTGGCGTTACATTAGCTATTTTCCAGTCATTGGGTACAGAAGCCAATTTAAAGGACAGGTTACAAACCATAGTTAATAGTTTCGCAACTTCACATTTGAGTTCTTTCAGAATAATACATAACCAAGATAATGTATTGCTATTGGGCTGAAGATGAAATATACCCTTAGCACACAATGGGAGTTTTCTATTGTGAATTTAAAAAGAATAATAATTTCTTAACTACAAATAAAAGATTTAAAAATAAAGTTCTGTAAATAGTTTTTCACTAGGGCTCAAGGCAGAGTAATTAATCTAATTGAAAGGAAAATGTATTAAGTAAGATGAATATAAATACACTATACGATTTAACATTCTATATCATCCTAGAACCCAAAGTTTATAGGAAATTTCGGGAAGCCCACATGATGCTGACTCAGATGCAGGATAGCTCTTTGATGCTATTTCTACTTGGATGCAATCAGGATTTCTTGAGAACTACACATTTTCTAAGGGGAGACAATTTTTTAAATCTTCAAAACATATTTCTGTATCCCTCCAGTTCTTGTGTATCAATATATTAATTTCAAAAGACACTGCTGTAAAAGCTGTGATCAATAGCAAAAGGGCTGCTCCAAGAAAACTAGGCTATAATCTTCTGTAATCTTTTATTGGGAACAATAGTATATTTATATTAATTGAAAATAAAAAGTAAAACCAAATACAAATAAATCTTAAAATTTCAAGGGTATATTGACATGACAGAAGGTGATGTGGCTTTGCTTTTATGGTCTGATAAAAACAATTGCTATTCAACCGTATATAACACACTGCGACTTCTCCTAGTCCCCGAGTTAAGGTTTATAATATCTTTATATTGGGTTTGGAGAATGACTATTTCATTCATAGGCATACAGTGCAGCATCAGAGTTATTTTGTTTTAAGATACTGCTTCATTTATTCCCTATCCATAATAAAATCCAAAAGTGAAGGTGTTAATCATTTACTCTCAATGCAACATTTTAGTGCTTCTAAGAATCTTACTAGGCACAATGATAACTGAAGTTATCTATACAGGCCAAACTATACATTCAAAGTTGGGCTCTTACATCTATATTTGTCCCCTATTTAAAAGAGCCATGCTTTTCAGATATGCTGCATGCCCAATGTCTCCAGTTAAGTCAATGGAAATCTGCCTTATGAACAGATTACTTTTATTTAGGTGCCTAAATATGGATTTAGGTGCCTAACCTGGGTGTCTTGTATGGGCATATTGGTACAAAGTGTCATTTCATTTGTACAAAGGAAAAGCTTCTAAAATCTGCTACAATGAAATTTGGGTTAAAGAAGTCACTTCTATAAAATCAATAATACAGTGAAAAAATGTGAAAATAGGCTTTTAAAAGACATTAATAGTGAGTATAAGACCTCAAATTTAGATTTTATTTAAAAAAAGTTTTTATGTTCATAGAAATGTTTTCATGTTTCTATTTTAGTTTTAATTTCAGTGAAGATCTTTTAAATTCCATCCCCTGAATTTTGCTAATGAATGAGAACCTGAAAATAAAAAGAATAGGAACTAAAATGAAACTGCCCAGTTTAGTCTCATAGTTCAATCTGAGTGAAATGCAAACAGCAAACTAACTGTTAGGTGGTGAAAAATAAAATTAGATGTAGAAAATGTGTTCTATTTAAATACTCTAATTTTCTATTAGTAATTCCCATGATGATTTTTAAACATATATGCTTTGCTTTGAGATTGTCCCTTTATTTCTTTTTTTTTTATATTTGTTTTTCATATTCAGAGTAACCTCCAAATCTGTAAACATTTGTAATCATACCTTTACATATCGGTGGTGGATGGCTCCATTGCCTATTAGCCTGACACTGTGCTTTTGTTGGCCCTTGCATGGCATATCCAGTATTACAAGAGAAAGTCACAACATCATTGAAGTTGAAACCATTTCCACTTGTTCTTCCATAAATCGGACTTCCGGGATGACCACAGCTAACAGCTAACATCAGGAAAAAACAAGAGTCAGGAGCATGCTGCTGTCACTTTTCATGGTACCATGTAATAGTGATGATTACTTAGTAGAATTCTAAAGGTCAGATCATATGAGGTACTGAGAGGTGCCTCCCAAGAGGTATTTAAAGTTGTCAAGTCACTTAATCTTAATGGGAACTGAACACGGTTAGTATCTTTCAGGAGGTGTTGAGCACTTTGTGGGGATCAGGCCCTTATTTTCTAAACATGATAAAGAGGTTAAACCTAAAACTGTATCTCAAAATTCTCCTTATTTTTTTTTTTTCTGAATGGCATTTAATCAGTTAGGAACGTATGGTACAAAAGGCTAATAATAAAAGATCTGTCCATGGTGCCTAAGCATTCAGCACAGTGCATTTCTAACGTCAAATGGTCATGATCATTAAATCTAAACATGCAGTACTATAGAAATACATTAATGAAGTTATGAATGTCATTAACAACATAACTGATAGACAAATAAAAGAGAAATCACTATTTTTGTCTACTTCTATTAAGCCACGAATTTACAGTACTGACACTTCTAAAAATCTATTGTAATGTTATGGACAATTGCAGTGTTTAATGGTATGTCTTTCATTGCTACAATCCTTTAGTCAACCTCCTTGCCCTTTTCTGACGTATTGTACTGCACAATTCCACTGTGTTCAACAAAATAGCTTCCATAATTGGTTGTGAAGAAAGAAACTATGTTCACCTTCTTTGCTGTTAGCAAAGACCAGGGAACAATAATTTTTTTCAGTTTTGCTGTTGATGTTAACCCAGTGATTTGGAAATTCCTGTTGAACTATGTCTCATTCTTGCTTTAAAGATTATCAACAAATAAACTTGTTCCCTAATGTCCAATACTTATTTCTATCTTGAACACAAAGAGTAGTGGCATTAATCCACTGCTAAAGGATTACAAATAGGAACAGAACAATGAGGTGTGTGTTTGTGTGCTTCTGTACTTTATTTATAATTTATTACTATTAACTATAGTAATAAAGTATTATTTTCAGAAACCTCTATCATATGTAAATCAAATGACAAATGAACAACGCAGGTAATGGGATAACAATAGAGCTGGTTCCACTGTGATTAGTTGAGATTTTTATGGCCAGGGCTTTCTATTATAAAGTTCTAGCTATATGAAAAAGAGAGTATTGTCAGTAATATTAGTATAATTTCAATACTGTAATATTAATTTAACACTAATTATGAATCACAATTGGCATTTCCACAATTACTTTTCATATACACACTTATGAAAGGGACAAGCAGTCTCAGAAGGGACCATTCTTAATAAATAAATACACAGAATACCAATTTTTTGCATCCTCTCTTTTTCACCATAACCCAGGTTTACTAAAAATAATCTATTTAAAGAAAAAACTTATTTTTTCACATATGAGGTTAATTTATGTGACATGTTAACCCAGTTAACATACATGAAGACCCTAATTTTCATAACACACTATTGATGAAAAAAGTAATAAAATCTCAGTGAAAATGAAACAAGTTTCTTAATGTGAACATTTCAGTCTTCAATGCTAACAGTATAATTTGAGATCTAACAACTCTTTCTACTGATCAATAGTAAATACACATAACTTTCAGGTGATATCTTCAAAAGCATTTTCAAAAGCGACAAAGGCACTTATGCTCCTTAGTCCCGCACTGATATTCAGTGAGCCAGTCTCTGAGGGGCCAGATTTTCAAGGGTATTTAGGGGCCTCAAGATGCAGATGAACATCAAGTGGAATTTTCAAAAGCGCTAGGTGCCTAATTCCTATTAATTTAAATAGGAATTACGTGCCTAGGCTCTATAGGAGCCTTATCTTTTAAAAATCTGGCCCTAAATCACCTTTGAAAATGGAACTTGGGCACTTGTCCAATAAGCTAATGTAAGCAGTACACATATTGCACAAATAAGATATCTTTTTCCATGCTTACTTACGCACACAGGATGGAAGCTGACCAGACCAATTGTGATCTTGTTGGCATATTCGTACAGAAGAACCAATCAAGCGAAAACCAGGGTTGCACTGGTACACAACTGTGTCTCTGTATCCATAATTCTCTCCAATCACTTGACCATTGACTATGAGATCTGGAACACCACAGTGGCCAGCTGCAATTTTCAAATTACGGTAATAAAACCAAAAATTATGATAATTCAAAATACATATGATAACATTTAAAATATCCCTCTTAATGAAAAATAATCTACTTCTTTACATTTAAAATGAATATTTTAACAAGGTTTAACTTCTCAGTTTCTTTAATTGATTTCATTCAAATAATAATTTGTAAGCCGATGAAAACAAACAACCAAATACTTCTTTCATACATACAAAGATCATGCCTAAAAATTAGAAATGCAAATCAAACAAACAAAGAGCTTATGTGGTATTTATACTATGAAATTTTCATTCCAGAATTTCAAGTTGAGGCATCTACCCCTTTCAACAACAACAAAAAAGGCTAAATTATTCACTGGAGTAAGACCACTGGCTTCAGTGTATTTGGGCGAATATGCATACTTGATACCCACAAGAAAAGATTGGTGGGTTTTAGCTAACATTTTAATTAGAGCCAGTCAAAACTCTGAATTTCTGTTCAACTCAAAATTGTATTAAAAAAACAAAACAAACAAACAAACAAAAAAACAATATTTCCCATGAAATGCAAATTCTGAAAAAAAATGGCTCAGGTCAATCAAAATGTCAATTTTGATAACAGTCAAAACTATTCTTCTGATTTTGACTTTTTTGTTATTACTTTATAATTTATAATATAATAAAAGGTTAATAAATTTATAAACAATTTAATTTTGACACAAAAATTGAAACATTTTATTCGTATAAGATTGAAACGTTCCATTTTAACCTTACTGATTTTTTTTTTCATTTTCTAAATGGAATTTTGTCTAAATCTACAAGTTCCCAGAGAAAGTTTTGATGTTGACAAAACAGCATTTGCCTGTGGAAAAAAACATTTGACCTGAAAATTTTCACCATCTCTACATTTAATTGATAAATACTGGAGATGCAAAATCCCACCTGCCTTTTTTCTCTCATCTATTTTTCTCTCTCCTCTTTCTTTTCTTTCATTGGTTCACTGTTTTGTTTTAGCCTGAGTTTTCTTACGTTTAGACATCTGGCTGGCAATAATTAAAAATAGCTGAGAGAGAATTTTTAGATAATTTAGCTGCCAAACTTACTAAGTGTCTACTAAGCATGTGTGAAGTGTGATTTTTCAGAGGCTCATAGCTTGACCAAATTTGGGTGAATTTTCATGGGAATAGAAAAGGCATGTCGCTGAAACCACCGTAAACTCCCTGCCACATTTCTAATTCCAAACCTTGGGTGAGCTGGAACTTCTCAATGCAACGTCTGTAAGAATTTTTTAACATGAACACAACCATGTGTTTTACCTCATTTTCCTCTTGGAAACGGCTGGCTTTGCTAAAACTTTCCAAAAAGAAATCAGACCCCTGCTATGGAAATTTCAGCCTGAATGAATACAGTTTTACAAAGTTATAAGTAACTGAAAATGGAGTCTTATAATGGAAACCACTGTGGGACTTTAATCATAGGCATTGCTGCCAGTGCCACTTTTAATACAGTACAGGGACTTATTACCAAACTGAGATACACTATAATTTCTTCCCTTAAGTACACCATGTGTGCTTTAGAAATATTCTCTCTTTCCCTAAACACAGTTGAAGGAATACAAATGCATCCACATGTACAATAAATATTAGCAAGTTTCAGTTATCTTTGCTCTTTAATTAAATGCTGTGTACTAAAATATGAGTGGGTCAGCAAATGCCCTGTTACTGACAGAAAATAAACCTCACATTATGTTAGTGTCTCCCTCCCTGACCATGCAGCCATAAGATAGCAATAATCCTGAATTTGTACTATATAAGGTGGAAATACATGGCCCCCTATGGAAAGGATGACAGTGAGAATAAACTATATGTGCCAGGTATTAGCCAGGTTGCTTAAAACACTACTGGAAGATGCTCAGATGGTATGGTGATGAGGAACTGAATATGGAATTGATTAGAACAAGTATTCAGATAGTAAAGATGCGTCTCAGAGGCTGTACCACTTGTATAATGCAGTACAAAACTCACTAAAAGGAAAGATAAGGTCAGGCAAGAGGCATAGACAGTGCATTAGCCAGTGCAGTATTGCCAACTCCAAGTATTCAAAAATAATGAGTCAGGCCCCACAAAATCACAAGGTTGCTTAAAAATCATGAAGATTTTTAAAATGTTACATTTTGGATTCTATTTATTTGCTATGTGATTTATGAGCTTTTAGGGTGCATTCAAGTCACATTTTCAGAATTTTCTCTCCTTTTCATTCTTTTAAAAAAATAGAAGCTGAAATTCTCTTGTAATCAGTTGCCTCCAGCAGCTGGTGCTTTAAGAAAGACACCACATACTGCGAGACTCACCATAATATCATCAAAATTCACAACACTGCTAGTGAATGAATTCATGCATACCACTGATCCAGTAGCACAAAACCCTTCCTAAGCAAGGAGCAGAGGCCCACATCTGCTATTGTTCCCCTCATGAGCCTTGTCTGTTACATGCTCCCCTTGCTGTACTAGGGCCAGGAACAACTGCATTCCTTGTCATATGTTCCTGAAAAAACACCCCTGATATCAAGGTCTGCTTCAGGGTCCCAGTTGAGTTCCCAGAAAAATAGTTTTATGTTCTAGTTTTAGTAGGTTTTGTAGACTTGGCCCCAGAAGGCCCAACCTACCAGGCCTTCATGTTACCAGGGGTAGGAGAGATATTGAACTGGGAAGATTCCCTCCCCATCAATGGGAGTTCACATCAAACAGGTTGCAGGGGACTAGACTTTATACCACCTGTAAGCTACTTTTGGTTGCCTCAACATTTTATGCTCTAGCTGCAGTAAATTTCATTTTACTGTCTATCAAGAAAATGCTTTTCTAAGGCATGTGAGGTAGCTACAGTCTGGCCACGCCGAGGGGGAGTAAACCATGTAGAAGTGAATGAAAGGAAAAATAACAACAAACAAACAAACAAACACAAAACAACAACAAAAACCCGAAGAGCTTAAAAGAATGGGAACCTACCCTCCCCACAGAGAAAACAGCGCTGTTAACCAATATTAAACTTCAAAATAATTACTACTAAAATGGGTATTAGTAACAAATAGTACACTCTTCTCTGAGCATCCCCATTCTCTTAGCTTACTGAAGTTTTATCGTGTGTCCCACTTCTGAATGGTTTAACCTTCTTCAAGAAGATGAAATAAGGAGCCTGCCGCACAAAGAGCAGCATGGGGAGGACAGAAACAGAGCAAAAGAATTCAACACAAGGAAGACCTGGCTCTATCTCCCTGACAAAACAGTACTGAAGCAATTAAATAAACCACTCTAGGATCTGGGTGCAATCTCTGGAACTGTGCATAAATGTCACAGGAAACTTGCATGCCTGTAACAGAGAAAATTCATTTTAAATCTATCCCAGTCTAACAGTGGCATCTGATCAGTTTGAGAAAGGTTTGAAATGTCCTAAAAATTTCACAGATCCTGCTAGCCTAGCTCCTCCTAACTCCAAAAATGGCTCTCACCCTATTTTTCAAAGATTCAAAGGCCCTGTGACTTAATTATGTCCTCCCATTTCCTGTTAAAATTACCCCCATCCAATTAGGGAATATAAAAAAAATGTTACATGACTAATTTTGAATAATTCACCATTCAAGGAAAAAGGACATGTATGATTCAATTATTCTTTATGAATACTACAGCCTACTTTCACCCAAGCCTTTGAGTGTTCACGTGTCCCCCATTCCCAGTTCAAGTGTCCCAGAACAGAGGTTGTGCCGAAATCATACTGTAGGGCAGTGATCAGCAACCTTTGGCACGCGGCCTGTGAGGGAAATCCGCTGGTGGGCCGGGACTGTTTGTTTACCTGCAGAGTCCGCAGATTCGGACTATCGCAGCTTCCACTGACTGCGGTTTGCCGGTCCAGGCCAATGGGGGCTGCAGGAAGAGGCACGGGCCAAAGGATGTGCTGGCCGCCACTTCCCGCTGCCCCCATTGGCCTGGAATGGTGAACTGCGGCCAGTGGGAGCTACGATCAGCCAAAGCTGTGGATGCTGCAGGTAAACAAACCATCCCAGCCTGCCAGTGGATTTCCCTGATGGGCCACGTGCCAAAGGTTGCCGATCCCTGCTATAGGGCTTCAGAAGTGAAAGGATCTAGATTCACAGCTAGAAAAAATATTAAGACAGTTCTACTATTCTAGAATCCAAAGGCAACTAACTATCATACAGGCTAAAAAAACCCTCAATATAGAATAATATGTCATACTACCGTGACACCTTTATCTGATAATCTAAAAATAAGTCAAAAGCATTCGGGGCTAAGTCCTGAAGGTTTTACCAAGTTTTTACCCATTATTTACTCTGCCTTTAGTAGAAATGTTGCCTGATGAAGAGCTGAGTGAAAGCTAGGTGGAGACTTTTAGGTTTAGCCCCAATTCATAAATTCTCAAAACACCATCTGTCAGGCAGGTACTAATGATAAACTACATACTGATGGCATCTGTCTTCTTATTTTTAAATGTGGATACTACAGAAAATGTCCTGTCAGCACAGACATACATAGTTCCTGCATATTCTGATAAGAGAACCTTTGTGGCCATTGCTGAAAACATTATGCAGTTGAATAAACTCCCTCACATCCATCTCAGCCCTAACAAAGGCAAACACTCACTAGTGTATTGCAGAGGGTGTTTTTTTTTTTTTTTTAATTTATATCCCTCTCTTAATTCCACACAACCACAGCTTTAGCTTCCTTCACAAAATAAATGGAGAGAAACCAAACCAAACCAAACCAAACCAAACCCAACAATATAACAAAAGCCAGAATGAACTCCTTGGTTTTGATTCTCTGTATTGCAAGCTAATATATAGGCTGCCAAAATGAAAGGGAAAAAATCAGAAAAGGAGGGGCTTTTCTGAGAGCTTTCATTTACTGAAGTTCCCATAACCAAGGAAACCACTTTCTTTGTCTGTACATCCTTGAGAATGGCTGCCTCATTACACAGGCAAAAAAGAGACGAAGAAACAGATT